AACTCGATCCAAACATACTAAAATATAATAAATGCGAATGTTTGAATGGATGAATCGATGTTTGTTTGAACGTATCTCCAGAACGGCTGAAACAAATCTCGATAAATTTGATATACATATTGAACGTAGTCTGGAAGAACACATAGACTAGTAATCATGTTTTTTTTAATTCCGCGCGGACTGAGTCGCGGGCGACAGCTAGTCTTATATACATTGTAGCTTCAGTCCGCGACTACATCCACGAGGAATAAAAATAATAATAATAATTATAGTAACCCATGTATACTTTCAGACTAAATCTATGCCTAATATCTGAAATATCCGTTAAGCTGTTCAGAGAATACGTAGTAACAAACATCCATCTAAACTTTTAATAGCATTTATAATATTAGTAACATTTTCTAACAGATATATCCGCGATAGTAAAGCCGAGCCACATTATCTTTCTCGGATTATAAAGTACTATGAGAAAGCTTTACTTGTTAGAAAACAACCATAGAGAGACGATTTAGTAGTGTCCGTGTTTCTACGTCCATAATATTTCATGTTACAACTCAATCTATGTGTGTCGTTACAAGCTGAGCCCAGAGACTTATAGATAAAAACAGATTGCTGGACAGTTTTTTCCATGTGTATGGTTGGCCAAGTTATAAGCGAATGAAGATTTAAAGACAGTTATTTCCGTACTCAGAGATTTTAATTGGTCACTAATATAGACCCTAATAGAGCACCAAATGATTGTGTTTCGGCTTTGTGTTTTTATTATCTTTTTGGCGTTTCTATAGGAATTTTAAGTTACAGTATATAAAAGAAAGTTGTGTTAGTTACACTATTTAAAACTAAAGAACGGCTTTACCGATATGCCTGAAAATTGGTGAGGAGGTAGCTTAGAGCCAGGAGACGGACATAGGATACTATTTATATTTTTTTTTCTTTCGAATTTATGCCTTGAAGGGTTGCTTTCTATTTAACTTATGTGGATGTATGGATGGGTCGCCTACACTAATTAAGTTTTTTTTTATATATCCACGCGGATGGAGTCGCGGGCGTCAGCGAGTATTTAATAAACAACCAAATTATATTTTGTTTGTCATTTATTATTTGCTATATACAATTAAACAAAACACTACTGTTATTATATGTGCGAATGTTTGAATGTATCTCAGAACATAGTCTGAAAGAACGCATGGACTAATATTATTTCTTTCCGCGGACAGAATCGTGGGCGACAGCTAGTTATATTATACATAAATTATTTGGGATATACTCATGTAATAAATATTATTATCTCAATGGCAGCTATATGATAAATTATGATAAATCTATTAAGATAAGATAATATTATTCATTTAATTATATTCATTGGGAAACATGAAAATAAACGATACAAATAATATCCTCACAAATCTTTGTATATAAATAATAATTAATTGCGTAACAATTATATTACTAATATTATAAATGCGAACGTTTGGATGTTTGTTAAAATGTATCTACACAACGTCTCAAGGAATCACGATGAAATTTGGCATAGACGTAGAACATAGTGTGGAAGAACACAAAGGCTATTAATTAGTTTGTCCTAATACCGCGCGGACGTAGTCGTGAGCGACAACTAGTTAAATATAAATTATTAAGTATATATACAATACATCAAAATTATATAATATTAGGATGGAGCCCTCAAAATCGATTTTTATGGATTGTTTAACAACGAATAACTATTTTTGTTCCGCCAAAATCTGCCATCATTGCTCAAAGAGTAAAAGTCCTCTCTGTCCATAGAGTATATCTTACCTATTTATTTCGACTTACTGGTGTTGCCGCATGATTTCTGTATTGCCACTGTCATATAAAAACTTATTCACTGACAACAATTAATTTCCAAACTTTATATAAGATTTCTTGACAATATTTTTTTTAAGAAAGTTATCTTAGAATAATATTTTTTAGAAGCTCGAGATACATAAAACTTGATACGTAGACATGAAATAAGAAGAGTCAGAGAAAAAGGACGAATTACATGAATCCAATTTGAGTAACGGCGCATTACAATCATTGCGTCTACTGAAAATGATTGCTTGCGGAACAATTTTAAAGAGATAGCGTTTGCAAACAAACTACACTGATACTAAATATAATCATAACTAAAAGCAATTATGAAATCGTGTAATTAAAAAAAATAATAAACAAAAATTTAAGGCCACAGACCATTGTTATACCATTATATTTTTTATGTTGGTACTTTTAGACATAATTAGTTAAAATTCTTTGGCAGGAATGGCGCGCTTTCATTACAAAGTCAAGTGTCAGAATGATTAGTGAGGGGACATAAACGTCGACATTTTAGTAAGGCTAGTGTTGCGGTAGTACACCGGGACATTGTCGGATTATCTTCCCAACATTACTATCCAATATGAATAGGTTTTGGGTATGGAAAGCAGGAACTAGTACGAAAGTAAACTTTAAAAAATATTCACATATATTTAGTTTGGTTTCAATATCGGAGGCACTCGTACAAGCCGTTCTTTCGAGTGCGTTTATTCGCGCGACAAATTGCTTTTCGGTATTGCAGTTTCACCGACGTTTCCGGTTTATAGGGGTTTTTTTACAGCGACGTGCTTCCGGTATCGAGAAAACTCGTTCGAGAGGCATTTTGTGGAGCTTCCATGTGAATAACTGTTATTTTAGCTATGAAATTGTAAAAGTTTTCATCGTAGAAAATATAAGTTGCTCTTGCACTTTTATTGACAGAATTGTGATGTTTATTGGGACACGTTTGTGAACTCCTATTTAATAGAAAGCTTGAACTATTGTGTTTGTTTCGTATTCTAAACCGGAGTGCTAAACATTTCAGCATCTTATTTTACTTTCGAATATATGTATACTTCTTTGTCTCTCAACACAACAAGGTTACATCTTACCAACATTATGAATGCGAATGTTTAGATGGATGGATGTTTGTTACTACGTATCTACAGAACGGCGAAACGAATCTCGGTAAATTTTGTATAGATATAGAACATTGTCTGGAAGAAGACATAGGCCACTAATTCATTTATTTTTAATGCGGCGCGTAGTCGCGGGCGACAGCTAGTTTATCTATATAATTCTCTGTGTAAATTGTAGAATGATGTTTTGTTAATAACTTTTAGATTTATTTATATTTGTTCAATTAGCAACGTGAATATATTTACGGTTTAGATTTGTTTTACTTTTTTACATTACTATAAATACTGTTACGTTATTTACAAAACAAACGGAATATTTTTTTCGTGTTATTTTAACCGGATATTGAAAAACGACCGATGCAAAGTCAAACAGATCGGGAAATACGATCCTGCGTTTAACCTATAAACCGGAAATATCGCTGGAGCTGTCGTCCAAAATTATTTGTTTTAAATATACAACGCCATCTATCGGACGAAGAGAACAAATTCTACGTGGGGGAGTAGTGTAAAATCAGGCGAAACGCGGAATCACTTCTATTTCACGTCTGTTTTTTGAGGCGATTAATTAAAGACCATATAACTCAATATATTAATGTAGTCAAAGCTCGTTTTAAACAATAACTTGTTCACAATCAAAGGAATATTCATTAAATTGTCATTAGCACAATTGCAAAGAATCGTTAATCAACAAAGTTTCGTGCGAGGCGAGGGAGGCGCGCCAAAAGAATACTAACTTTTCTAAATGAATTAACAGATATCGGATTTCTTATTCCAAGTTAATGCTATCTGTTGTAACACAATTATACATTAATATATTAGAATTATATTGTAAGAATCATCTTATAATAGAAGTGATAAATATTAAAAAAATTCATAACCTACAAAAATTGTAATAAAAATATTGCGTCTTATAAAAACCACTTTGGAAAACTTCTGTTATTTAAATACAGGTTTGAAAGTGCAATAATTCATCAGTAGGAAACATAGCAATAGGTACGAAGGAGAAAACAAATATTTTTTATTATTTTCATACAAAATAGCCTAAAGTGAATGCATTTAAAAAGTAATCGAACCGTTAAAAATTTTATAGCAAAGACTATACGGTTTTACAAATTTCCCATTTTAATATAATCATTAATGATATCGTTTAATCTCTCAGCAAACAGGGGACTTGGGGATTTTTAGCTGATATCACGATTTCGCATAATTCATATGCGTAATAAGCTCCATTGCTGCTTATTTTTTGTATTTTAACTTCACTATTGTCGTATTTTTCCTTAACAGCGATTTTGTTCACGACTTCGCGTATTATTTCATCGTTGTCCGTCATTGTATAATGTCCAAATGCGACTAAATTCACACTGAATGATGTCAATATTTATATACACCGGCGTAAAATTGCAATTTTTATCAATATTAAAATCAAAATTTAGCTTAAAAAAATAACGCCGCTGATAATTTTCCTTTTTATTGATTATGTTAAAGCAAAATGTGGTGGTCATTGCAAACTTTTTGTAGCAATTATTGAGATCTTACAATTAATTTTATATAAATCTAATCATTTAGCTTACGTAAGCCAAAAAAGGCGATTTTAAAGGATTCAGAAACACGCTGTAATCACGTTTACTAAATTATAGTTAAAATTAACATAGCCAAAGTTTCTAAATGATAATATGTAGCTTTCTAATGATAGTTAGCTTTCTATCTAATAGTTTTTAAATTTATTCGTTACAGATATACAAATCATTCCCCTTCAAAATATAAATAAATTAGTCATCGTATATACTTACAACGCAACATGACAATTAAGATAAGAAAACCGCTATATCATATACCAAGATAATTAGTTGATCCAATAGCAACAATGTGGTAGGAGTGATGCGATGTTATCAAACAAAACACAACCTTATTAGTATTCACACAACACTATAGATAAAGGCGAAAATATTTCACAATTTTTTATCATAAGATATTTTTTGTTGACAAGAATCTTAAGGATGAATGCCTTAAATAAAGTTTCGCAATTAAATTGTGATTCATATTATGCTTAAGCTTATTAGAGTAAGCACATAAACCTAACTTTAATTTGAATTTAATTCTAATTTAAAAAATATTGCTTTTTGTTTTTATAAATTGAAAATAGTGAAAAATGGCCGACGACGCTGAGAAACTAATGTATTGCAAACTGGAATCAGTGGCCAAGGAGCAAGGTTATGCAAATTACAAAACGAACGTTCGCGAATTGAACACTGGCGGTGCAAACTACACCTCGCGTCTATACTACGTTACCCTGTCCGCTCCCGGCTGCCCGGATCTCAACCTGTTCGCTAAAATCGCCGTTCTGAGTGAAAAGATGAGATCAAAGTTTCCAATAGAGATCTACACCAATGAAATACTTTATTATTCTCACATTCTCAAACGCTATCAAGAGTTTGAAGAGAAATATTGCATCAATACAAAGCACAGGCTGCGTTCTATCAAATGTTATGGATACAGCAATGAATATTTGAAGGAAAGCTTAATATTAGAAGATTTGACGCCCAAAGGTTTCACCACACTGGACAGGTTTATGTGCGTCGACTGGAAGTACGCGTCACGAGCAGTATCCGAGCTGGCGAAGTTCCACTCGCTCTCAGTCGAATTTAGGCTCAATTTTCCAGAGGAATTTGAGAAATACAAGGAAAGATTTCCTTTATTGTTTAATGAACATTTTTTGAAAGACTTTTTCGATAATCATGCATCGAAAACCTACGCTGCGATTAAACAAGAAAATCGTCAACGGCTTGTAGATTTTCTTAAAGCACAAAATTTCAACTTTTCTAAAATAACTACACGATGCCCCGTACTTGCACATGGTGACTTCAGGCATAGCAATATTATGCACAAAGAAATTGAGGTAAAAATACTTTTATTATTATATGTTTCGCCATAAACCTTTTAGATCATCACATTGATAAGAAAGTGTAAAATAAACAATAGTAGGAATTGAATAAAACATACGTCACTCGCTGATAAAATAAAATCAATAGATAAATACTGCGTTTGCGACGACCAGGCCGAAGGCGCCGGCGCAACGAACGGAAACAAATGGCAGCAGATTAGTATTTTTTGTTTACGTCGCCTCCCTCCGACGCGCCGACGTCATGCCGTCCTGCTTGTCAATAATTTCTTGCCCACGGCCTAAGTATTACAAAAAAAATTAAAACAAAAGCATATCAAACCTTTGTATACTAGAGGAGTAAGCCTACAATATGCCTGTATTGTTTACTTTCATTTGTGGTTGAACAGGTGATCATCATCGTATTATTCTTTTCCAGAATGGTGAACTGGAGCTGATTATAGTTGACTATCAAGGTTTCCAGATATCAAGCCCTTTAATAGATTTAATGTACTTTATAATTCTTTCAACTGACAAAGAATTTCGTTCACAACATTATCATCAACTCCTCGATCACTATTACTCAGAATTCTGCGGCTCTCTGAAAAGATTAAACATTGATCCCGATACTGTTTATACAAAGGATGACTTTCAGCACGATATAAAATTGGTAAGTTTGTAATGTTAGGAAGAAAATATTATACAAAAATGTGCCAATGTATTCACCTAACACTAGTCTTACTAAAATGTCGACGTTTGTGTCCCCTCACTATTCATTCTGACACTGGATTTTGTAACGAATGCGCGTCATTCACGCCAGGGGATTCTAACTAATAATGTCTAAAAGTAATAATTTAAATTATGAGATTTAGTGAGTCGGAATAATGATCTGACAAGGCATCTTTTTGAGCTGTACACCTTAGAGTAACTGGGCTATACAAAATATTAATATCAAGTTCCCTGTGGACTTGCTAAGACAGGAAGAAACATTTAATTATCATTTCTATTGCTTTCAGTTTGAACCATACGTCGTTATAATGGGTACTCTCATATTGCCCGGTATGTCAGCTTTCGTAGAAAACGCTCAGAATATGGAGAACACGGAAGATCGCAACGTATTCGAGATCGAACCATGTCAGATAGGCTCACAAAGACTCAACGATCTTATCGACGATTTCGTGAAACTCGGCGTCCTTTGATTCGATTATTAATAAAAAGTTTCGTTACCTAATTCAAATAATATATCTTACAAATATAATATCTACTACAATCAGTGATCTTTTATTTTCCTATACTATTCTAATATACCACAAGTAGAAAAAATAAAATTTACATAAGACTGAACAATTTGTCTCCATAACACAAATTTAAATATTATCATTACGATCATTCTGTTGAAGCTCATATTATTGCTTTCACTAGGAAAGTGTAAGGTGTAAATAAAACGATGAGTTTTGTTGATATATATTATAATATTCCCATTTCAATGAAATCCTCAACAACTTCGTTCAATCTCTGCGCACCCACTTCGTTAGGTGTGATTGCAAAGTCTTCAAAGGTGCTCTTTGTCATATCCGGAGCGTTTTCCTCGTGCACTGTTATTACAGGAAGCAGCATCACACCCATGATCAGGCCATACGGCTGCATCTGGAAGCAATAATTTAGTTTACGATACTGAATAAATGAAACATAATAATATCCGAGATGTCCTAAACACAGATCACTAAGTTTCATTTATTTTTTCTACATCCTATAATAAATAGGTTGATAAAAACTCCATTTATAATATAAACTTTAATATTTGTTAACAGGTTGAGCGTGTTAACAGATATTAAAGTTTCATCTTTCTGGTCTCTCCCCTCCAAGATTTGGCACAGTATGGACGTCTCTTCTACTTCCATACATACATCTGGATTCACCCCCTTCTTACTTCATTTTATAATACAGTGACGTTTATAAAATTATATTTTCCTTACCAATTCTAATTCGTACTCAAAATCTTCTTTGGAATAAACTTTTTCAGGGTCCACGTGTAACCTTCGCAAGGCTTTATTTAATTCAGAATAATAGGAATCGAGCAGTTGTCGATAACATCGGGCGCGGAAAACTCCATCGGTTCCGGAAAATATAAAATACATTAAGTCTCTTAAGGGGCTGGATATCTGACATCCTTGGTAGTCTAATGGAACGATATCCAACTTGCCATCCTGTAAGAAAAAAAACATAAACAACATATATCTATAAAAACTTTTTTTAATAAGAAAAAGGAACAAACAAGCGTCGGGAATAACGTAATCTACAATATTAGAGTAACTTCAGATGCATTGCCAGCAAAAAGTAAAAAACAAAGATTATTTTAAATAAACGAGTCATTAAAAAGTAATGCGTAGTAGCAAGATAATGAACATCAAAAATTTTCCAAGCTGAAGTTAAAGGTAAATGACAATCTATCAACGTAACCGAAAGAAGTTATATTTGATTTTGATAAGTTGGTACTAAAGTGACAATATTATGAAAAAAATAAGATCCTCACCTCGTATACTTTATACATCAAGTTGCTGGGCCTGTAATCTCCGTGCGTGAGTACAGGATATCGAATGGGTTTATTATAAAAGTCGAAGTCTTGCTTGTTAAAAAAATCGGTCAGCCGCTGCCGATGTTCCTCCTTAATCGCCGAAAGAGCTGATTTGTAAGCAATATCAAAGAATGTTTTAAATTGTACGCCATCAAATAACAAACCAAAATTGCTCGTTAAATTATCAAACTCTTCAGAGTCTTTATCTCTTATAGCTATTGAAAGCGCGTGGAACTTTGCCAGTTCAAACACTGCTTGAGAAGCGTGCTGCCAATCAATGCTTTTAAATCTATCATACGTCTTAAAACCCTTAGCTACCATGTCCTCCATCACCAATGTTTCGTATAGATATACTTTACTAAAGCCATAAAACTTGGTCGTTGTTAGCCTGTTCTGTTTCTCAATCCCATTCTCGTTCTCCAGTTCTCTATATCTTTTAAGCAGTTTGGTATATACGTAGATTTCCGTATCGAAGATTTGGAATGGATACATCTTCCGCACTTCCTCCGCTGTAGCCGCGACTTTCGCGAACAGTTTCAAGTCTTCATGTTTTGGTGTTGATAGTATAATGTGGTACAAACGTGAGGTGTAGTTAGCACCACCTGTGTGAAACTCACGAACACTTACTTCATGATTTTCATATCCAATCTCCTTAGCTATATTGTCTATTGTAATCCGAAGACGTCTCTCACATTCCTCTGCCATAACACTGATTTTATTTAACAATATTTATATTATATAAACACAAGAAAATTAAATGTTGTTTTTGTAAACTCAACTGGAAACCAGTTCAACGTCGACTGCGATTATTTATATCATAGTGGATACGGAAAACAGCATAAATTATTTTATCTAATTATTTATCTTGTATAGCTTGTATTACGCCGTGTTTACGATGTATATAATAACATACTATTATGTACCTACAATCGTCTACGAGTTGAAATAATATTGTGTAATTTGTTGCAATAATCATTTTCATCACAAGACCACATAATACAGACAGATGAGTTGCAAATCTTTATTTAACATCGAACATAATAATAACTTTGCATCTACGTCATCAGTTCATATTTTTTATTACTAGCTACGTAGATCAAAACGCGGCTAATTTATCTTACTAAATAACAAACTTTGTGAATTCATCTTACTAATATAAATGCTAATATTTGGATGAATGGATGGATCTTTGTTAGAATGTATCACCAGAACGGCTTCATAGCCTGGAACAACACAAAGGTTACTTAATTTTTTTAATTCCGCGCGGAAGGGCTCGCGGGCGATAGCTACTAAACCATAAATATGTTATTATTTTTTTTTATTTTTTTGCAAATGGTAATCGTTTAATTACAAATTTAATTATTATTATCGTTATCTCTTCTTTGTTGGTCCGCCTAAAGATAACTATTTTATCATGACCTAAAATATATCTACATATTTTGATGACAAAGTTTTATTATCACAAAATTAATTGAGGCGAACTATTTGAGATAAAATTACATTAATAAAACGCAAAACATCATACAGGTAAGTACTAACATGATAAATAATGTTTGAATGGATAAATGTTTGTAAGATTTCTCCAGAGCGGAAGGATGGATCTCGCTAAAAATTGGCATTAATGTAGAACATAGCCTGGAAGAATTAATAGGCTACTAATTAAGTTTTTTTTAATGCCGCTCGGACGGAGTTGGGCGCGACATGTAGTCTTAAAAATTAAAATACACCTATATTGCAGCAAAATGGAGTTGACGGATTGCAGTGATTGTTTAAACGGAAAATTCAAATGACGTGTATTGTTGTCCCTATTTAATTAAAAAGAATGTGAGGGATGACAATACATTTTATATAAATGCGTCGACCGTCCTTCACAGTAACATAGAGAAATAATAAATGTTTTATAATTATCTTCCCAGCATTGCCATTAAACAATACATTGAAAGTTTGCTACAAGATAATTGTGTTTTAATCTTGCAACACTCGCAGATTAATTCCGGAGCTCTGCGCGCCGGATCTCAGATAAAACTTTACTAAAGTGAATTAATTGCACTTGCGGATGTTACCGGATAGTGCCTAGCTCCGCCTTCGCAAACTTTACCTAAGATAAAGACACGGCGAATATCAAACAAACTTCCATTTAAAGTTCGTTTGAAACGTGGTCAGGTATTGTCCAACTTTCAAAGAAATTAGACATATTCTCTATCGATCAACGAAAACTATCTCTAGTAGGAATTAAAATGTATAGGAATAAAATTAAAACAAAAAAACTTTTTGAAAGCCAGCTTCTATTAATTAAAAATAAAAAAGCACAAACTATTCGTCATTTATATTCAAACGAGCCCAAACTGAATAAGTTTGTGTCGTTTCATTGCGAATTTCCTATGGCCACCTTCAGTTCCAGATTTAGAAGTAAAAAAAAATCTTTATTGTAATTTGTATAATTTATTTTATTTATCAACAATTTCATATTTTTATAACGTGTACAACATTCATATTGTTTATCAAAAACAATTATACATCATCTAAACATATCTGTAATAAAACTAGAGAGTCTTTAATCATTTACTAAGGGAAACCCTAAGAGAAAATCATATTAAGGAGACTACTCAACGCCTCTAATTAGTAAGACATGTAGCATTACGAGATCTTCTTCTCCTTGTTTTGTTTCGTGTTCGTCTTCTGAGTGTGGCCGAGCAATGATAGCAGCAGTCCAGCCAGCGGTGCCTCCACCACCAGGTAGAACGGCAGAGCAATCAGCACAGACATCACCACAATGCCGAAGTATGTCACCAGCTGGCAAACATGGCAAATCTTGCTACATAAACGACAGATCTTCAAAAGTATGAAATATTTTTTACTGTTTAGCATGACGCACCATGTAGAATGGCGAGACAGTGGCGAGGTGCGTGCGCAGGCCGATCGCCATGTGCACCAGGTTCATGTGCAGCAGGTACACGCTGTACGCCAGCCGGCTCGGCACCAGCCAGCCCCGCCACTCGAACAACTTGCTAAAACTATCTGAAATAAAAGATGGATGCCCACACCCCTGACAGTTTACAACATATTTGATGAAAGAACTGAACCGATGGGTATAATTCAAACTAAATTACGACAACTCACTTGCGCCCCCCTGTAAACGTCGAAATTATCTCATGATCCTCTTCGTATTGAAGTACTCATGTCAATCGCGATAGTAGCGATTCCCTCATCCATTCTAAAAGCTAATCTAAATGCTATATCGAAGACTAACCACAGAGTCTCATAGTGAGGGTGACAACAAGCATAGCGACGAACGCGGCCATGGCGAGGCGGTGCGTTGCTGAGTACAGCGCGCGCCACGCCACGCTCCCGGACACATCCCCAGACACCTCCGCCCCCTCCGCATAGAACACACGCCCCGTCAGGAACAGACACGCGATTCCCGGCACCAAGCACCAGCTCAACATACCCCACCTCTAATAGAAAGATACACCTTTTATCAATTGTAGTTCACGATACTTCCTATATTGTTACCAGTTGAACCATACTGTGTATTTTTTATATTCCGTAAAAGATAGTAACTTAACTTATATTTAGACAAATCCACGTTGTCCTTCTGCAGACGGTAGACGAGGGAACCGGTGGCCAGGCCGACCACGTAGCAGGTGAGGTTGTTGTGGCATAGGATGTGCAGTAAGCGGAACGTACGAGTCACCGCCAGGCGACGGAAAAATCTACCACATGATACCTTACATTGTAACAATCCTTTCTTATTATACAAAAATACTAGCAATCGTGCTAAAATATAATGTAACACTAGCTAATATACCTTCTACATTGGTCTGGTCTAGGTCTGTTGTTAATAAAAAAACTCGCATGTTAAAAATCCAGATAAACTTATAAACGCTAAAAACAATAATGCACTCTGTAAGCGAGTAAACTATACTACTATATTGGTCTATCAATGGGAAGAAATTGGATAAGTTTGGCTGACTGACTCCGGTGTGACCATAGCCAGCGCCTGCAGGTCCTGCAGCCAGACGTGCAGCGGCGGCCCCAGCAGCCCCACCAACAGCAGCAGGCCCAGCGCGAGGTGCCAGCCGCGCCCGCGCCCTCTGGTGCACATATACACCAACATCGTCACCACGAACAACTGCATGTCCACGGCTATGTGCCTGCAAACATACATCGCACAAACTCAACATAGCACACATATGCTAAATTTCAGCTTTTTTTTTTAATTTATGCACTGTGCTTTTTTGTCTCATATCACCTTGATATGAGACAAAAAAGCGTCGGTAGCTTTCTCAAGGTAGATTTCTCACCAGGTTTGCAGTTGGCAAGCAGTATCACCAGCGACATAGTTATTAATATAGAGCAAGTGATGTGGCCAGTAGCGGCGGCACTGCGCCACCACGGAGTCGCCCACGTACAGCCTCCACAGTGGCCCCGCCCCTAAGTGCCGCAGCCACGTCCCAGAGAACGCCAACAATACGGCATAAGTCGGACTCAGTCTGGAAAACAATACAGTCCATGTGAAATACTAGCGGCCCCTGCCCAACTATCTAGCAATTTTTTACATTTGAAACTGACTCGACCCTCCAATAGTGATGAATTTAAAAACTACTATTAATAAATTTAGAAATTAAGAATCAATCAACTAACAATTTCTCTGTATAACAAAGTAACAGAGACAATTGTAAATTTTTGCTATTAAGAAGCGTAGGAGTTTGTACCTCCACCATCTCGCAAACATTATTATCGGCAACTCGGACCACTGGAAGGGCGCCACCTCGGAGCGTAAATGCATCAGGTAGGACTGCAGGAAGGCCGACATGAGGAAAAATACTTGCACTATCAGCAAGCCGTTGTACAGCAAGTGATACTGAAACGACTCGTATGTCTGAAAATATCAAACCAAGATACGTTACGTCATGTCATAATAATAAGGAATAAAGCCAAACCTACCAATATATAAATAACCAAAGTTACCAAAAGGCACGACAAAATCATGGATATTCAATAAATAAATACTGAATAATTCCTATGGAATATAACATTTTTTTATTTAAATATTTCTGGTTGGTACTGATCTATTGCTAAGTTATTTGTGTGCTTCTGCTATAATAATTTAATTGACAAATAATAATAATAACAATCGAGTCCATTTATAATTACCTTTTCAACAGCATGAGGAGAGTCCATGAAACCCGCCGAATTGATGAAGGCTACGTGCGCCAGTATCATGAGGCAATTCGTGATCGATCTGAAAACGATACAGTCACCATCATCTTCCTATTCTAATCCCACACTCGTATTTTTTCCTATGCATGCACACTTAAATCTTAACATTGGATCCAATACGGAGGTCTCATCCCTTACCTGACTCCTCGCAACCCCTTCAGTCTATTACGTCTTGGATCTGTACTTTCATCACTCACCAAATCATTCCAATTTTTGCGCAATGAAAAATTCATCAACAAATAATATTCTGAAATATTATTATAAAAAATAGATTATATGTTATAAAAAATAATTCAATTATAGTCGACCTCAACGATCACTAAATGTAAATATACGGGTCCATTGATCCGCGCCGAATGCACGGCACGCACGGCCCGCAACAGATTTTAATTTGCTTTTTATGATTTGACATAGCGCTGCGTCCAAAATTTGCGTTGCCCACATTGAAGGACGAAGCAAAATCCGTGCGTGCGGTGCGTCCGGCACAATACAATACAATTACGAATTCACCTTCATTATTCATATTATTTTTGGATACACTAATTTTATTATGCATCACATCGTATAAAGTGCCTAGAAGGACCAAAAATACTAAAGCTACTATCACTCCAGCCACTATCCAATCTGTGTCGTCAATTTGTACTTTGTCATCGTGTCTATCACAATTGTATATCTCTGTAACATTAGCTTGTAGTCCATATTGTTTAAACATAGTTGTATTCAGACACTCCTCTATTACTTGATTTCTTTCAATATATTTTTCTAAATCTCTCCCTTTAATGAATTCTTTACATGTTTGTGTAATACAAACGCCTCTATCTATGTACGTGTAATTATAATGTTTAGCTGCATATGCGGAGTACTCCTGCAAATATTAAAACAACTTTACTGTTATTCTCATACTCGAGTCAAATGTAACATGTTAATTTTAAAATTCTACAAATGGGAAACTTTAATGTAGAAAAAAAGTCTTGTTAAAGAACTAAGGTTATTTAACGGTAAGCCGTGAAGCTTCATTACAGTAACTGCAAAAAATTATCTCTGGTTTCTTCAAAGAGAATGAGATGGATGAAACAATGACATATTTCAAAGGTTAGTAACATTTAGAGATGAGTTTAACTAACTTTAATTTGATTCATAAGTCGGTTGCTTTCGTCTGCAAACAAGTCAACTCTTAAGACACAATACAAGCCATGGTCGCTCGTCAGACAGGAATCGTAACGGTCCAAGTCGAAGAGTCGCGGCATACGCTGATGCTCTGAATCTTAAACAAAACCATCACAACACACTTGAACACAGTTTTAATTCATCATCAGCTTGTGTCAGTCTCCGATGCTTTCTGCTTCCAGTGATAATTTTAATTGATAATTATTGTTAGATTTTAGCAAGAATATACACGTAAAATTTTAAAATATACAAACCATTTAAATGATAAATAATTCCGTTGCATGTGTTTAATACCAAAAGTAAACAAAAGAACGCGCTAAACCACATTTTGTCCACCGACGATACTTTCGTACAAGCACACCTACGACTATTCAACTTATGACGCGACAAACCAAAATACAGCCCCTTTATATCTTGAACTTTTCTTTTTTTTATACTTTTCTACTTACTTTCAAACAAAATCGACGCTACCAGGACTGCACCAAATGGAGGTCCGTGGTCTCTGCCTACCCCTGTGGGTTACGGGCGTGATTTGTTTTTGTGTAAAAATATCTTACGTGGTTTATGTTTCTACAGGGGTGCGACCCTAAAAACCTTAGGGCTTTTCGGGTCTAGAACCTAAGTTCTCGCTAGTAGTCATGTAACATGTATTTTTTTCATGATCACATCCCGATTCTTTCAGCATACTTATTCATATGTCCTTGTTTTTAAACTTTGATAATTTTTATAATTACTTTAATAGGTTAAGATGAAGTGTTAAATCAAAATAAAACTTCTCAATGGAATAGAAGATATAACTTTTTATGGAATCCAACAATTCTTAAGTTAGTATTTATTTCAAGAAGAACTGCAATGTGTTTTTATAACGAAATTTATTTGTACGTCTAGAAAAAGATATCAGCTTGCTGTAATTTTGAGACAAAGACATTTACACGATCACGATTATATTTTGGTACTAAAATAACCGGTTTTTATTTGTTTAACCTTGACGACAGACATTACTAAAAATAAACAAAACTGTAAATTATAAAATTATGTGAATATTTAGATGGATAGATGGATGTTTAAAGGTATCCGCGTAACGGCTCAACGGATCTTGATGAAATTTGGCACAAATGGAAAGCATAGTCTGGAAGAGTACATAGGATACTCACTAAGGTTTTCTTTAATTCCGCGCAGACGAAGCGCGGGCGACAGCTAGTAAAAAATAAAAACAACAAATTGTACAGTATTGTTCCTTTTATTATTTCAGGAATTATTTTTATATAATATAGTATCATAGTTTCATTACAACGGATATAGTTCAGCAGGTAATGACGCAAGTCCGAACTGTGGTACCTGACCAGTCCCATCGTCTATACATAGTTACAAATAAACTTTAGATAATCATCAACAATAGCAGCGCACTCAAGCAACATACAACCATAACTTATTCAACACATAACAAATTTGAGAATTACAATTGACTAAAAACTCAAAATCATTCAATATTTTTTTACGTTTCAAAAGCGTTCGGTGTCACCTGTTAGAACACATAGATCCAACATGATAAGTAGAAATATTATTCGCAAATACAGTCTCAAAATGAAATGATACGCATTTCATAAAGTAGGTCATCATTGGTGCAGCTACTATCTACGTAATATTATAACTTCCTCGCAATATACTCGCAGCAACATCCAGTATATTCTGTCTTGAATATATCAACACCATCGTGTTTTACAAATTAGTTATTAGATGAAATTGATAAACAATACAGAAAATAGTTATCGCCATATTAACACCCACAGAAGACACGTGTTGCCTTACGCTAATTTACTGCAAACATTCACATGCTAATATAAACATTTAAAGTTTACCATTGCATTAGTACCTAGTAGAATTTCCTTAATTTGCAATCTATAACGACTCGGTGCATTCGAACAAACATTTACCCATTTTTCTAAATTAATCCTTAGAAAAATCAGCACGAAAAAAGACATTTGGGTTACGTAACGCACCTCCATAGTTTCAAACATGTAGGTCCCCGTTTATTTTTTTAGAAATTGATGTATAAATACGACAATAGCTTAACAATATAAAGTACAAAAGCGAATGCACAGATCATTGTCTTTTACATCGATAACTTTTCAGACTATTAACGATTGAAATAATTGCTATAATCTCTATCCCAATAATATAAAAGCTAAATTTCCTATATGTAGTTATTGTGGAAACGTATAGGGAAGTCCTGAACATCGAACCATAGCTACGAGTATTAACGATACAATTCTTCAAAAACTTGAAAGTACAAAGGTCGGGGTACAAAATTCAAATCTCTCGTAACAAGTACATAGATGGCGCCACTCCGCCAAATGTCCTACCATCTACATTACATCAAAATTTCTACGCACAACGCTAAATAACAAAATAATTTGTTTAACAGTTAGTTATTGTAGAGCTAGTAGTAGTACTAGTATAGAGCTAGGCTATAACTCGCGAGAAAAGCAATTTAATGATATTCAAATAAACATCGTTGAAGATTTTTTTTCACGCAATTTTTACAAACCTTACACCCCATCGTAATAAAGGTCCCTGCATACACACGTTAACAAAATGTCACTTGAGTGGATAGCAATATACAATAAGCATTAATCAATTGAAGACAACATTTATTTTGTAACAGTCTTGACCTACAAACATTCATGGTCATTGTTTCCTAGATAAATTAAGAAACTACCAACAAAATACCCGTCAGTAACAAATTAATTGAAATAATTTGTACATCCAAAGACAATTTTTCTTCACACAATCAACATTACTTATAAAACTACGTACAGACGTAGCTTTGCTTTCAAATTACTTCGTTGCATTCTTTAAGCGGCGTTGAATAATTTATCATGAAAAGTTAAGATAGGCGATTTTTAAATATGCAAAGTGATTTTCTAAATGCCACAAAATTATACGCTTTATCTTGCAAAATTTATAAAAAAAATTTTTTATAATTAATACCATTCATACACCGTAAAATAAATTAGTCTCACAGATCTGGTCAACACATCTCGAGTTATTCTTGGATTTATAGTGTTTCCCGTTCATCAATCGGCCTACTATTTTTGATTAATTGGTACAATGATTTTTTCCCAATGGGGTAATGAATCTATTAAAGCCAATGGGAAACACCCAGTGTTTACTACAATGTCTTGCTAATTTCCTAACTCATTATTGTAGTTGATGTTTATATTTGGTAATTATTTCTTTTTTTCAAAAGTTCTTTAAACATTACTAACAAAATGTTCGCAAACCCACCGCGACAGATACCAATGTTTCGGTCGATTCCTCAAGCTACCTTAAACTGTATATTATCAAATATATTATTATTTTATAGCTTTAAATACACATATACACGTCAACGTACAGAATTAAAGTATTATTTATTTCGCTATCATTGAAAAGATACATTATATACTTGATAACAGATACGGGCCGCGCGTCGCCACCACGCTTATTTATATGAGTAATAAGTCATATCTTATTATCATTTTATTATTATTAATAGACGATCATTCACAACATTAATAATCCGAATTTGAATATTTAATATAATGTAGAAATCAATTACAAATATATTTTAAATGCTCTATAAACTGTCGACACTGAATTTAAAACAAAATGGCGTAGGAGCGGCGCGCGGCACAAACAACAGCGCCTAAGAAAGATATAACAATTTTTGAATAATACCCATAAACACGTTGGTATGCGGTACGTTTCATTTTACAATTATTCACTAACAACTATAATATAAACGCTTGCGGAGACATATGTTAAATGTTTCATACGAATGCCATGTCCCAGCAAGCTAGTGTTGTAGTCATTATTGTTCTCAAGATTTTCCGTGCATGTAAGCCGGACTTGACCGATGGTTTCTACGTCGCTAAGTGAATTTTAAGCTAAGATATACCTGAAGTTACTTCGGGTAGGCGATATATAATTTGTTGATAGTCGCGAAATGATTCACAACTCTTAAGAGTTGGATGGATGAATATATGAACGTTTTTTTTTGGTTTAATGTAGCGTCTTTGGAACACCCAACTCGCCCGACATGATGCCCCAACATTTTGATGTTTATTACAAGACGATAGATCGCAGTTATCGATATCGATATATCAAATCGATATTTTAACAACACTATACACAAATAAAATGCACAGTCTGAGCTAAGGTATATAATTAAATCGATAGCTCAATGGAATTCTATACAGGATTACATCAATATGTACAACATAACTAAGATAAAGCTAGCGGTGAGTGGAACAAAACGTATATTATTTACTTTCAATATATATACAAATAATATCAACTACTAAAATATATCATTGCTATCTACGAAATAATTCAAGATTTTATAAATTTTTAATGAAGTTCAATTAATTTGATATTTGAGAATTTAAAACCGTATTTCATGAATTTAAACTCAAAATAACTATGTCGACCAATGTTTATATTCATATAGAAAATTAAAATAAAAAGAATTATTTAAAAACATAATTGTAAAAGTTTCTAAACCTTACGATTTAGATATAAACAATATTTAATAAATATTACATTATTTAAAAACGATAAAATATTCTACTTAAAAACATGCTTTATATTGCCAATACATGTCTAGGGATTTATTTACTAAACTGTATTAAAACTAAAAAACAACGAGTAACTCTTAATTTAAATCAGGCCGTTACACCGCCACAGTATGATGGCAAACCATCATTGATATGGGAGAGGTGGGCAACGCATCTGTAATTTTTTAAAACCCTTCGTACACAAGGCAATGTAAATAGAATAGGGGCGGTATGAACGTTCGTAGAGTCACACGTCGCTGACATTATCTTTAATGGCCAAAAGTAGTTGCTCGCAACCTGTTTGTTAAGGTCGTCGTAAGAAAATCGCAATCGCTGTTGTTTTCAAAATGGCTGAGCAAATCTCCAGTTTTGTTTAGTCGCTATGCCTGTACTGATCGAATAGAATAAACGCGTGCAAAGCGATACTCGCGATGCAACGGTATTTAAAAGATTTACGGCCCTTGTGTACGAATGGCCTAATTTATTTCAGATGACTATAGGCAGTTGTCGTTTCGTTATTTTGCTCATTTACCACCTTCGATTACAAAAAAATCTTTAACATTTTTTTTAAAGAAATGCGTTTACTTTCAAATGCATAGACATGCGATATTACAACGTTCCTACATTCGTTATCAAACACGTAGTAACGTTTTATTTTAAGTTAAATGTATTTCAGATTGATTTTATACACGGATTCTTCGCTAAATTATATGTATCTTGAAATAACTAAACAACATCATTATTTAAGCGTTAAGCAATTTCCCGATTTAAGTTATTTCTTGTTCAATGTTTACCAATTTATAAATGGAAATTATTTTTTTATTGACTAGTCATTTTTTTGTTATTTTTGTTCCATACATTTAAAAATAGATAAAGACGGTTAGAACATAAGTATAATTTTATACTTTCACTGGCATAACTTATAATTTATAATCTTTACGTTACATAACAGATATATGTACTTAACCGTGTTAAATTATCATTAAATAATTGAACCTCGCAAAGGCATAACAAATATTTACAACTGTTTAAAACGCGCAACATATACAAAAGGAAGAAAGCTTAACCGGGTACAAACTCTGAAACATATAAGGTACTACAAGTTTTTATTTAATGGAATAATTTTGTTTAAAGCATGCATCATACGAACGCCAAGATGTGGCGACGGTATTGCACCACTCTATTGTTGTCTCCCTTCCACTTTAGCCACTGAATTGGTCGTCGAAAGAGACAAACAAATATAGCTCCAGACGTGCAACGCTCGATGCCATGTCAAAGTATGACATAAGCTTTACTATGGAGACATACGAATCATCTCCTAATGAAAGACGGATCGTTTGAAATGCACGAATAAGTATAGTGGAAGTTGTGACCGCCCTCGCGAGGACCGGAGGAGATACATGACCTTTAACCGGTCACCACCGAGAGGGTCACTTCTCCTGCCTGGATATAGCTAACGCGAGCTGCAGCTCGGCGTCCTCCTGCCGCCGCCGCGCCTCCGCCTCCGCCTCCAGCCGCTTCGACTCAGCGGCCGCCCAGGCCCACTGCTGCTCCTCCGACGGCAGAAACTCCACGCTCTTAGCCTCCGTCGGTTTAGTCTTCTTTTCTTTGTTCTGCTTAGTCCTTCCTATCCCTCCTATCGTGTGGACGAGCGACTTAGCGTACTTCACCGGCTTCGGCGATTTCTCCTTCTTACTGGGCAAGGTACTGGTATTAGTGGGCCAGGTTTCGTTCAGGTTCTTGTTGGTGTCGGTGGCGCCCCAGTCTGTCGCCCAGTTGTCGGTCTTGTTGGCCCAGTTGTCGGTCTTGCGGTCGGCGGTCGAGCTGGCGGAGTTGGTGGCGTTAGGCTTGTTCCAGGCGTCATCGGAGGCCCAGTTGTCGTCGGGCCAGGCCGCCCACGAGTCGTTGTTGTTGTTTTTAAAGTGCGAACGCGAGGCGAAGGGGTCGTATGCGAGGGGCGGGGCGGAGGAGCGGCCGCTGCGGGGCTTGGGGCCGCCGTTGAGCATGGGCAGGGGCGAGGAGAAGTCGTCCATCTCGAAGCCGACTGCGGAGGTGGAGCGGGCGAAGGGGTCCGTCTTCCTGGAGTCGGTGACGTCGGCGAAGGGGTCCTCTATATTGAAGGGGTCCTCGTATCTGTAGTCTTTGAAGGGGTCGTCGGTGAATTCCATCGGTTTGGCGCGGTCGGTCTGGACGCAACAAAGTGTGTGAGTGAGAGGCGTGTGTCGGGTGTGAGAGAGAGAGAGAGACGGGTGTACGCACGTGACCGGCCGCCGCGTCCGCTTAGCGCTGCAATGTGGGGACAAGCGAGCGTGTTAGCACCTTAGTGGACAATCTCAACTCGACAAGGGGACGCACTCTGTGACATTCAAACAACATTTAAACCTCTTTCTAGAAAAATATATTTATTTTATAAAACTGTTTTTTTTTTCTATTTTGGTGTAAATGTGTATAATATTAATTGTCAATTTTTGAAGGGAAAACACATTAAATTATAAAAATAAATAAAGTATTTACTAACAAATATATGAGTTTTTAATAATACAATATTTTCAGAAAACTTTGATTTATTACGTTGCGCAACACCTATAAATGTGTTCTATGCCGCGACTCGTACAAAGTTCCGAGCCGCCGACATATTTGAAAACCTCAATACTTATTATCAGTTCAAAATGTCACAAAGTGTTCACAAGACAATACAAACATATGTACATATAGTTAGATAGTAAATTAGAAAATGAAACAAACGAAAATAAATGAAATTAAAACAATTATTAAACGAATGAAATGAAACTTAAAGCGGAAATAGCGTCTGCTACAGTAACCATCAAACAAAGTGCATCCATTTACTAATATTAGTATACATTTGTTAGTCTACACCATGCAATATTAATATTCCTACTACAAAATTAGCTTTCAAACCAGCATGCATGAAAATAAGTCTAAAAATTTCTAAGGACAAGAGGAACAAAAGCTTGTAAAAAGACCGATAATGAAGGATTTTTTGATAACGAAACAGGAAAATAAAGCTATAAACGTATAAAATAAGCAAAATAAATATGGCCACTGACAAGACACAACACTAAATAAATTAGAAAAAAAGCGCTTGTCACCACAGAGGTCGCTAAGCGGGCGACTAAGTAACACGTGCGCAAACTGTGCGAATAAAAAATATGCTCACTCAAATTAATTGTAATTACGACAAAACTTTCAAATTTTCAAGTTTATGAACAGAATTATTAGATAGGTTTTCGTATTATTTGAGAAAGCATATTTATTAAGGGGGTAAAATAAAAGAAAAATACAGTAAAATTAAAATAAAATATCACATACCCGTGCGTACTACGTATACGCAAGTGACGTATACATATTTGCACTTCACGTGTATAAGTCATTTCAAATATATTGGCGGCTCAAGGTCATCTGAGCAATAGTACCCTACCCCGCATCCCGCTACCCCTAAATACAATTAAAATTGTGTTCTGCAGTCGTACAAAGTTTCGAGCCGCCAATATATTTGAAAAATACTATACTACAAACTTTGTAGTCATCACGTGACTTAAATATTCCAAATTAAGTAATCGAAAGCTTACAAAAATATAATTACTGAGAATTTCTTCATCGAAATTAAATATTAATTAATTGGAAAAAGAGAATTTTATTTCGTTTGCTTGTTTTTTTTTTTGCAAATGCAATTTTGGACGTGATTTAAATTAAAAAATTATATGTTTAAGTTAATTTTTAGCAACGTATGAAAGTCACGTGATATTCCACTATTGGAGTGGATCGAGAATGGCATTCAGCGCAACAGAGAAAGTAAAATTATTGTATTTATTCAAAAGCTCGACTGATTGATAAAAGACCGTCTTTCAATTATTTGAAAAGCCTATGTGTTCTTTCATACTATATTCTATGAAATTACCGGAGATACCGTCTAACAAACATCCATCCAAACTTTCGCATTTATAATATTAGTAAGATTTATCATATATTTTTCAAAATACAGTTAAAAGTCAAACCAAAGCGATGATAAATTTTTGAAACACGGTCTTTGAATATCGTAGTGTGAACAATAATGTTATGCTAATTTATTCTATTGCAAATAACAAACTTGCAGACAGACTTTTGTGGAAAATATTCAGTATAAATATGATTTATCTATATCGATGTTATTATTTGATAAATTGGAAACCATAAAACGTAACAGGCATTTTTAGTTATTCAAAAACGCGTACTTATATCCAAAAAAAGTCATTGGATTTCATTTGTTAAGGTCAAACATTTATTTCAGACCAAATGTTTCATTTTTTGTAACTTCCATATATTAAAAAAGTATGTATAATTTACAACCTGACCGGGAAAACAGGACACCTAACATGACCTTCATAAAACCTTCTAAAAGTGCGCTAAGAAAATAGTTCTATTTTTTCCACAATAGCGTTAAATGTATATTACTGGTGAGGCTATAAAGGCAAGACAAACAAAAAAAATGTGCCATTCTCTAAAAAATAAAAATAAGCGGTACATTACATACATTTTACTTTCTCTGCAGCGTACAAACAAACAAACAAACAATAATATATTTAGCTGTAAGTTGTCAAGCGGCGGTTGTAATGCCGCGACTGTAAGGGAGGAGGACAAAAAAACTGCTCTGTGTACTAAACAAATACAAAATCTGAAAACAAAAAAAAAGTAAATAATCCTTTTATTGCTTGTAGCTAGCCAGATAATAAATTGCTTTATTCCATTATGTTTTTAAAATAAATTAGATATTCCTTGAAGTAATTTGATAGATCTGCCTAGCATACAACATAAAAATAAATAAAAATTTAAAATTATATTATATCGTAAGTTAATGTTATTTCATTGTATGTCGATTTAGACAATAATTCATTCATATTCGCAAAAAATGTAAAAGAAAAAAAAAAATAACATCCACAATATTTAACGTTAAAATGTTTTTTATTAACACCTAATATAATAAATATTTAGCCGCAATTAAGTTACAAGTAAGTTAAGAAGTAGTCAGACGTCCACATACAATGTATAACGCGGTCCATACATCAATGTATGCAGCACGTACCTTGTGCGGGGGGTTGGGGCGGGGCGGGGCG